GGGCTGGGTGACAGCCCCGGCTGCCGGTGTCCCCAGGGCCAGCACCCCCGACGCTGCTTTCTGGCCTCAGCAGCCCCTGATGCTGCAGCGTGGATGGGCCGATCTCTGCAGCAGGCCCACTCCCACGGTCCCCGGGGACACACATTGCTCTGGCACACGCTATCTCCTTGTCCCTCGCGTCCCGTTAAACGGACACAGATTTGCCACATCCCCAGAACCGGGTTTAGGCTCCCCCCTTGTGCCCGTGTCGTCTATCACCTGTGGCTGTAACACCCAGGTGCTGCAGGCACCGGTGCCCGCCGCCTCCTGCAGTGACATGACGCCTCTCAAGGAGCAAACCAGCACCTTCCCACAGTGATTACTTGTAGCAGAGAGGGAACTAGAAGGAAACATTCTGAGAAACAGGAATTTTAATGATTTCTTATCCTGAGCATGGTTGTTTTTTTTTTTAACATATTTCTGTTTGCTCTCATAAAAGATCACAGTGCACGTTCCTTACTTGGCTGTATAGTTTTAAAGTCATTGCAGTTTATCATAAGGATTTTGCAAACCTTATTCTTGTAATTGCAGCTTTTCTATAGGATTCACTGCACAAAGTTTTGTAACTACTTTGTGGGTAGGTCAGACTGAGAATTAGTCAGGTCTCTTGTCACTCCATTCAGAGTTTAATCAAAAGGTAAATCCTGGTTGTAATCAAAATAGCAGTCGCCAGCATCAGTGAGTAAAGTAGATGACATTTCAGAGTGTTTTTTTCCATGTTTTTTTCTTGCTTTAGAGCAGATTGATTACCAGGATAAACATTGCTTTAAAGTGATTTAAAGGAGCAATATGAAAGACTTCTGCACAGGCTTCGTCAGTGCTTCATAGCTGGCTCAAGAGATGCTTTTGTTTGTGAATTGTTGGTTATTTGATGACAATAGTTTTTGTATTGCACACAGCTGGTGTGTTGCAATGTGTATTTTCAGTAGTAGAAAGGAGAAAAAAAGAACTGGAGATCCAATTTTCCTCTGGAGTCTCCTAGTTAAACTAGTCTGGAAAACATATTTAGACAGAACACAACTGCCAGCTTTTGATTCTTACTATTGCAGTGAAGAAAAACCATCAAGCTGTGCTTTTCTCTCCAGGTATATAAAGTGTGTTCATAGAAGTGCTTAACTTGAAATATCTGCCAGTGTTATTGAGCTGCAACATTTGTAGCTGAGTTCAGATATGGGGGAAAAAAATGTTGGTTTAAATATGGAGTAATTAGTACACTTTTCACAGGCAAATTAATCCAGGTTCGCAGAAAGAAATTGTTCAATTTATTGTTTTCAACTGCAATTACTTTTTTCTTGGTACCACTTAACCATCCCCACCTCATTCCTGTCCACACTCAACAGGATGAGACAGGGGCGTATTTGATTGATAGAGACCCCACGTATTTTGGTCCAATACTGAACTACCTCCGACATGGGAAGCTCATCATAAACAAGGAGCTTGCAGAAGAAGGTAAGAGAAAAATACAGGGTGAGAACTGCAAATGCTCTTTGATAGCACTATCCAAGAGTCCTCATCAGAAACTTGCCTGAGTGCATAGGATTTCTGACGTGGGGATATGTACGGGTGTGAGCAAGTCACATTTCCCAGTGGTGCTGTTAGTTTCTGAGAAGGATGCTCATTAACAGGGATTAAATCATTAGATTCTTCCTGAAAGCAGAGGCCTGCAGCTTATAACCCATTACTCTTCTGCTTAGCTCAAAGGCGCAAAGCAAAAGATCTTTCAGCACCTCTCCCTCCACAGAGAGCAGTTCTCTACAAGCAGGCAGCCTTGGTGACTTTCCCCTAATGGGCCTGTGCAAACAAAATAGTGATTGTACCACAAGGTTTCTGATAATCCCAGGGAAAGGGGAATAATCTTTCTTAAAGAGCCTCTAAGTCACAAAAGGAGGTGACAGCTAGTTGGTCATTTTCTTCTGGCCCGGGAGTATTAGATTGGTGGCACAGTCTATTCAGCATATAATCATAGACTCATTTAGCTTGGGAAAGACCTTTAAGATCATTTAGTCCAACATCTGGGCTACATTTGGAGTCAGGAGCAGGTGTTACATCTTTGTAGCAGAATTGTCCTCATTCTACCCTGTGCAAAGTGACAGAATTTCTCTCTGCTTTTGGTTCCTTTCTTAGGGGTACTGGAAGAAGCAGAGTTTTACAATATTGCATCTCTTGTGCGGCTGGTGAAGGAGCGGATACGGGATAACGAGAACAGAACCTCTCAAGTAATGCAACAGGAACATTTGCGCTATGAAGTCAGTCATTTTCTGTAGCATAGTAGAACAACACGTGAGGCTGTAGACGCTTCTAGTAGCAGTTCTTTGGTTTAATAGTCATCTTTAACAGGAGGAGAAAGTGCTTTTAAGTATATTCAGGGCACAGCTAGGAAAGAGTATCCATTATGGTTTTATAAGCACAGACCACTGAGTCATCTTGTTAGCGATGTAAGGAAAGGCAATGAACGTTAAACAAGAGGGGCCAGGAGCAGAGATGGGTAGTTATAAAGCAAAACGTACTGGTTTGGTGGGTAGAGAATAGTTCAAACTCTTCCTTCTCTAAAGCGTTTTCTTCCCTTTATATCTGTCTCTGTGGCAATTTTTCCCGTTGCTGCTCAGCTGATATTAAAACACCCAGTAGACTGAATTTCAGAAGAGAAATGTTTTCAAAAAGCAGTAAATGGCTTTGAAAGCCAAAGAAGTTTCATTTTCACTGGCCCTTAGATGGCTAGAATGCTTTTAAGAGAGGTGTGCCAATGCTATGTACCTATTAGAATTGGATGGTCAGAAGGATGAAACCTCAAAAAGTCTGTGAGGCTCAGACTTCCTCAAATAACAAGACAACAGAGCAGGAGACCCCATGAGAAGCTGACTAATTTCCTAGCTTGATACTAGCATAATAATTACTAAACTCACACTTATTTTTATTCTCTATGCTTTAGGGACCTGTGAAGCATGTGTACAGAGTCCTGCAGTGTCAAGAGGAGGAGCTCACACAGATGGTGTCCACTATGTCCGACGGGTGGAAATTTGAACAGGTACCATTGCCAAAGAACAGCAAAATTCCTTTGAAAGCTGCATATGGAATAAACAGAGTTTGCTATTGAATTGCACTTCACACTGCTCTGCTCTTCTGAATAAGTAGTCTGAACTGAGCAGAAGTCCATTTACGTAGAATAACTGACAGGGAAAGGCAAAATAACTCAAATTGCCGAGAGAGATTTCATTTTCTCTCAGGACTTCTTGTATCCTTGTCAAATCCCAGAGCAATTCCTCCCTTCTCCTGTATTTAGTCACATTTACCTGGCCCCACTACAACAGTTTTATCCAGGAAAATTAATAGAGTCATGAAAAAAACGCAGCACGACTTTTCTGGAAGCTCAAAGCCATGACTCCTGCGTTTGCTGAAGAGGTGCTGAGTGACGTAAGAAATACACTTTGTGCAGATGCTGTTGTAATGCAGCCAGTTTTGGGGCTAGGTGTCACTGAAGTTGCATATGACATTAATTCCAGATTTGGTTTCTGGAATCAAATACAGTCCTCTTATTTAGGAGGACAGAGAACTGGAAACCAGCTGGCCTGCACATTAATGCTATATTAAGAAACTGCAGAATAGGCTCTGCTGTCTTCCCAACTAGTCCAGCTTCAGTACAAGTGGATGTTGTGGGAAACGTGCTGACAGGAAGTGAGGCATAGGATTAGCAATAGCACTTTGCATCACTTGTTCATATGTATCTGTTCTGTAATGCCTGAAAACTCCTATTGCATAATAGAGAGGCAGCCAAAAACTCTTGCCCCTGTGAGCCGGTAGTGAAATCTTGTGACTAAGAGCCGCTAGCTGCTTTATGGAAATGCAGTTCTCCAACACCCAGGTTTTGCTGGGTGTTTGTCCAAAAATTTACTTAACAGACATTGCCTTTCACACATGCATGTACATATCCCCAAAACCAAAAGGGTATAGGCAGTGCCCTACGCAGCAATCTGCACACTTACATCTTTCCTAGTCTTGCTTTTCAAATATGTAATGATAGGGACAAGATGCTGGTTACAAGCAAATGCTAGCGTATTCCCTTCCTGTCCCCTCCCTCCGCCATCTAGAACCTTTGCGCAAACCACCAAGATCCCTGCCAGCCTCCTCCTTCCTGTACACTGCAAGCACCAGGAAAATTTCCTGCACATCCCACTCCAGCACACTCCCACCATCAGGAGCTGTTCATGCCCTCCCCTGGGATTTGCATTCAGTTCAAATACCCCCAAGGGCAGCAAGCCTGAACAGGACAGACAGACAGGATGCTTTGATCAGGGCTAGACCTCACACAGCAGTACAGCCTCTCTCCACCTGTGAGATGGTCCAGACTGGGTCACAGAGCAGGACCACGGCAGTGGTGCAGCACGGGATATGTACTGGGAGGAACATTGCAGCTGCAGCTTATCGCCAAGGTCTTTCCCCGGATGTGCAACCCAGCATGGCTTCCACCCTCCCCCAAATCGCACCACTTGGCATGCTGAGACACATTCAGAAAGATGGTGACAGATACACATATTGAGGACAAAGAGAGCCTATTGCTAAATCTTAGCCTGGATGCCAGTGATTGAGCAGAGCAGACATTCCCTGTGGGCTGTCTGGATCCAGTCACTTCATAACATCAAAAAAACTGGTTCACAAACTTGCAGGAAAGCCAGAAGTGGTAAAAGCTATTGCAGCCTTATTGTCTGTCAGGCTTGGGTTCTCAGAAGAGCCTGTGGCCTTTCAGGTTCTCTACCTTGTACCATTTGGTCCTGCTTAAATTAAGGATGGAAGAGAAATTTGCTATTTTAAACAGAAATCCATTCTCCTGTCCACCTACAGTTCAGTAGTGTGGAAAACTGCTATCTTCATCAAAATTTACTTTGTGTTTGCTGAGTAAATAGTGGTGTTTGGTATTGAAATATCCAAGAGCTTAAACAGTCAAGAAAGGGAGCAGGGAGGCAAAAGGGAAAAATTATCCTTCTTTTATCCTGTGTCTATCTTTTGCCCTAAGCTCAAACATCAAAACCTATTTAAAACAGTACTGGAGGTCAGTCAGTACAACAGTCCCACAAGTCTTCCTGCAGCTGGACTGTAAGCATATAGATAGTCATCTGTCTAGGCAGGCTGTTGACTGCATCTGTCTCATATAAATATGGAGCTCTCCTAAAATCCATTACGATATGGAAGTTAGGGTGCACGTTGCATATTAAGGTTTCCTAGATATATACAGTTGATAAGATTCACGTTGCTTCTTCAGATCACTTAGATTTATTATCTAGAAAGCAGAACTGAGTTGTAAGTGACAGATTAGCTCTGCACTCCAGGATGTCCTTTTAATGTAATAATGATAAATGAGACAGATGGAATTTCTTGGATTGAGTCCAGACCCCTCATCCCAACAGTAATAGAATATAATCCCAATTATACAGACATCAAACTCCATCTTGACAACATCTACGTAAAGAATGGTGCCAGTTTGCCACACGTCCCCTAGTTAATCTAACCTCTGTTTGTGGTAAAGAATTGCCTTTCCAGTTTTTACACATCCAAGTCAAAAGGCAGGTTGAGAGCAGAGTTCACCGTATTCTGGACCAGGAAACCTGCATTGCCTGCCTCATACCTGAATTAGCTGCATATTATATTGAAAAATCTGACATGTTTTTCCTTTTTCTGCCCTCAGTAATTGGAAAATATGTTCTGTTGTGTTCAGCATTAGAGTTTCAGGCTGGAATTTGTTCCTGGGACTCCAGGTGCCACTAGAGGCTCTGGAGCTTGGCTCTGTCCCTGCGTTACACACACAGAGGAAAGCCTGTGACACAGGAGGCTGCGGTGAGACACTCTCCATCCAGAACGGGTCTCACTGGACAGTTGTACCTCACAAAGCAGTTGTAGAGATAAAGCAAAAGTCAAGACTTATTGATAGTTACCCTGGCTGTCTCTTGTTGCACAGCTGATCAGCATTGGATCTTCCTATAACTATGGAAATGAAGACCAGGCAGAATTCCTCTGCGTTGTGTCCAGGGAGCTTAACAATTCTACCAACGGCATTGTCAAGGAGCCGAGTGAGAAGGCAAAGGTAAGGCATCTGCTCAGATGTATCGCCTGGAATTCCCCTATGCAACAAAAACACCCCTCATACGCTAGCAGATTGATAGTTTGCAGTAGCAATTCTGTGTACCAGCTTTCCTGTTTTCTCCTGTAGGCATGATCTTTCCCTCTTGGAAGATTTCATGTTTTACTGTAGGACAAGAGCTAAGGTTCTTTGTACGCTTCAAACAAAGACCAAAAATTGGAGGAAAGAGACTTGAAAAAGGAGGACAGCATAGCAAGGACCTTTGAGATTGGTCACATTTCATGGTTGAAAGATGTCGTAGGGAGACACAAGCGTTTGTGGTTTTTTTACCCTCTTTCAATCCACTTTTTTCCCCCCAGGATAGCAACAAAAGGCAACATTCTTAACTCCTGGCAGGAAGCTAAGCAGGATTTCTAGAGAAAGTGCTCAGTGAGTTTTAGCCAGCCTGTCATTTGTTATGGTAACATAAAAGCCGTTAGTCCATCTTTCCTTTCTCTGCAGAAAACAAGGACTCTGAATGTGAACTTTTGCATCTAAACTTGTCCAAGGTATTTATAGAAACTCTCTTTTTCAGATTCTTCAAGAGCGAGGATCCCGGATGTAATTCGAGTGTCCACTCTGTTAAAGATGTCAAAAGGGCAGCCTAGCTGGGCAGAGCATCTCTCCGCAGTGCAACCTTGCCCTTGTACAGTAACCAAGCTAATGCAAAGCAAAGCTGAGCCTGTCCTGCCAATGGTGAATTCTGGTCATAACCAAAGGCTCCCTTCTTACCCTGGAGACCAAGGAAGGAAAGGACTCTTCCAATTGGATAGTCCTTTCCACAAGTATTAATTTTATTTTCTTGGCCAGCGCTGTATTGAATTTTTCCAACAACGGCTGGGCCAGATTCCCAGTCAGAACTTTCACAAAGGTTGCTCAGGTCCACAGGCCCTTGTAAGCAGTCTCACCTTCCACAGGCTGGTGCAGGTGGGAAGATCTGTATTTGAGCTGTGCCATTTCTTGCACCCAGGTCTGCCACCAGAAAAGTGCAGGGACCTTGTGATGCTCCCCCTCCTGATTAGCCAGCCCCTCCAGATCAGAACAGGGCTTTGAAAGGAGGAACAAAACAACCACTCCTAAAAAACCAATACAGACTTTTCCATTCTTGCTTTGTATTTGTTCCTTGTTCAATTCCTAAGAGCTGAGTTTCAATAATAAGGGGAGGGGAGTTGTGTGTACATCTAACATGGGTCTCGCTGCCCTTAACACTATTACATACGGGCTCCTGGCATTTTCCAAAGCCCATTACTTTGCATGCATAAACAAAGAGACCTGTGTTCACCCAGAATAGCAAGAGTGATAGTTCTGTCCTTTACACTTCTCTACTGAAGAGTGGTGACATCTTCCCCTCCAATACCCTGCCACGGCCATACCTTAGCCTGGTGCAAAACCACAAGGTTGGGGACCTGCTGCCAAGTTCAGCTTTGCCTTGTTTGTCTCCAGCAGCATGGGCTCTCTGTCTCTGTCCTTCTCACCAAGGGAGGACTTCAGGCAGAATTTCTTTTGTACTGTAGCAAGCAGGTAGGTTTGTTTTAACCCATGAGATCCTTTGCAGAGGAGATCCCCTATTTATATGCAGTGATCTATCTGCAGCCCCCTCATGTCCCCACCTTTAAGAGATCACCTCGAATTACAGAGGGGCATCACAGAGTTGGGGCAGGGAGGGATTGGTGAAAAGTTGCCAAACTGGTGTAATGTTTCTTGTCCAAAGTGATGTGTCAACTTCTGTGACTTTCTCTTTTTTTTTTTCTTTGGAATGCCTTGGATGGCTGTGCAAAATGTTCGTTTGTGCCTCTGTTGAATTCTAATCTTAGCCAAACTGCAGTCACTGGTTCCCCTCTGTTAATCTGTGCCATCCCTAACCGAGGGCATGTCCCTCCTAGTCCGATAAATGGAATTTCTTAGGAGTTTTCTGCATGTTTTTCCCCGTTCATCCTGGCTTTGTTCTTCGTAGCCCAAGTGTCCAGGCACTTGGATCTTTTGGAGTCAAGTCCCAAACTGGCATTAAACACAAAGCTTCAGAGATGCTGGAATTCATAGACATTGACAAGCTCAGAACAGGTGTTTCTCAATAAGGTATCAGAAAATTCCTCACCTGGGCTGAGGAATTGGGCTCTTTTCTGGAGGACTTCAGCTACCTGTGGTCTCCTTAAAGTTTTGAGATAGAGTTAGGCAGGCTTCCCATCTTACCACTTGTTGCTGACAGAGCCTTGCAGTGGCAGAATGTTACCAACAGTCCAACAACCGGTTTATCAAACAAGACATGCAGCAAAGACACTGAGTGACACCGCTGCACTCTCTGCCTCTCTTCAGTCCTTCTGTACGTACTCTTGCCTGTCCTCTCCCATCATGCTTCGCCAACGTACCTCCTCCGGTGGAGGCTTTGCCTCATTCTCAAGAAAGACTGGTTAATCATCTGTGCTAGTTTAATCCTGGTAACAACAGGCTGTGCCAAATGTCTTTGAATTCACGTTGTGTCAGTTACAGGCTGTTGAAAGGCAGCTGGCTTGCCATCATGCTGAAGAACCCAGCTCCTCTTCTTCCCTCCATCTTCCCTGTTTATCATGTGGTGAGATGGTATTGGTGTGATTAGACCGTATGCCTTGGCTGGGCCTAAATAACACTGTGATGTGTACAGATCTCTCCTCTGTCAGTATCTCGTAGCCTCATTGTCCATCTGTGCTCACAGCTAAGAGATCAAGAAGTGCATGTATGCAAGTTAGCAGCCTAAAAAGCCCTTTAACACTCTTATCTGTCTTCTTCCCTTCCTCAGAGGACAGAGTTCTGGGAACTGGTCAAGAGATCTCAAACTAAAGGCCACAGGAACTGGTCAAGCTGCTTTTGTCACATCAATGCCAGCTGTTCAAACCATGGAGCTCAAAGCAACAGTAGTGGCAAAGGGAGACTTTCTGTCTAGTACAGCTCAAGTAGATACAAATGATACCTCGCTGCTTTTTTGTATCACCAAAAATGCCATACATGGTAAAGCCCACCAGAGGATTGCCTGATGTAACAGTGATGCCATCACTCTCCCCTCTGAGCCAGGGAGCCTAAAAGTTACCATTACCAGTTGAGTGGAACAGCTATTTAACTCACATGCACAAGAATGAGTATCAAAATTGCATCTTGGTTTTCCTCTCCACACAGCTCTCTGCAGCAAGGAGGTGCCAGGGGATTGAGTGTTCAGTTGCAGGGTCTTTAAGGTCAACGGAAGAAGTTTATGGTAGAAAACCAGTCACTGGTACTGGATACTCAAGTTCTTGGGCAACACTTAGGACCATGTGTGAAGTCCATCCAGAGCAGGTACATTCCCAGCAGAGGATTTCTTCTTTCCTGACTGTGCTAGGTCACCTTTACCCTGAGACCAAGACTGGTCTCAGCATTATGCGCCGGTTGCATCCCTTCTGTGCTCAAGATAGGGCTTTTCCTTCCATTGCCTTTCACTCAGTCACAGCTATATCAAAACTAGCACTGAATTACGATGAAATTTGTCCCATTCACTCTAAAAAAAGGTAGCATGTTGTGGTGAGTAGGGTAGGTGAGCAGCAGTAGATGTACTATCTAAGAGTGCTTTGTGCCTCTTGAGAAGGTTCACTTTAAAGCATTAATCCCAGGAATGGAGAGTATGACACTTTGGGGTTTGTTTTTTGGTTTTTGTTTTTTGGTTTTTGTTTTTTTTTTTTTTTTTAAACTTTCCCAGTGGCCTAAATTGTTCCATTGTGGCAAGACTGGAAATAACCTCTTAAAGTGTCTTTGTTTCTGCACATTTTTAAAAATCGATTTTCTCAGGGGTGACTGAGTGGGCCGAGGCAAAGGGAGCATGGTTCGCTGCAGGGCGATGGGACAGAGCAGCTCCCCAGTCCCGCAGCTGGGACATGGGCTCCTCCCCTCGGGTTTGCCTGCAAACCCGGAGGTTTTGTACAGTTTGTCACGTGTCAGTGCCCTTTGCTACTGTTTCTCTTTGTTTATTAAATGTGTTTGAATAACAGTTGAGATGCTGTGATTAATTTTTTTTTTTTCCAATAAAGATTCTGAAGTGGGTTTGAAAGTTTGAACAGTCTGTAGCCTGCTGCTTTCTCTGCATCCCTTTGCCACCTTACCACACAAATACTGCGTTATGGGGAAAGAAATGTGAAAATTTGGTACCTGCTTCTGGCTTCGATTCATTTATAACAATGATTTGCCAAGAGGAGAATATAATTAGATTTTTTTAGTCTAATGAGGCCTTCTTGGCAACTTTCAAAGAAAAAGGCAAACAAGCATTTCTGATGTTTCTGATTTCCTGTTATACAAAAGAATCTAAAGTTCTACATTTATCTTTACCATTTCCATTGACAACCACAAGCAAGTAGAATGTCAATATAAGCATTAAACATGAGCAGCTAAAAGGAGGAGGATTTTTGTCAGTTTTTGTTTGCTAAACCCCTACTTGACCCTGGATCAGCACACATGGCAGAGAGCTCTGGCCGTTTCAGACAGCTTTGCCCCTTCCTCTACCACAAAAGACCCACGCTGAACATCTGACAAAGCCTGCAAACAGCTCTCCACATCCTGCACAAGACCAAAGATACAAGGGTCTTGCCATCACTAAGACAAGAACAGAATGAACATGAAAAAAGTAACCAGCTTAAAGCTAGCCTCCCCTTGCAGTGCCTGCAACTGATTGCTGGGCAAGAGACTGCCCTGGGAACGTGGCATTAGCCCAGAAAGCCTGGCGGATGTTTTAAATAGTTGCTCTGTTACCTCTACCCCAAAAGCTGCCAGCCTTCCCCATCTTTGTGTCTTTAGTGAGACTGGTGGATTAGCTGAGATTTAGGTTCTTCCCTGTTTACAAAGCATCACAACTCAGAAATGCTTGAAACAGAGGTACCAACAGATGAACAGGCAGCAGGGAGGCAAAGAGGCAAACCAGATAGTCAAGGTTCGGTCATGCTGAAAGTTGGATAACATCGATGGTTCAGGCCCAACACAGGGGGAAAAAGGAGGAGGAGCAAAGACATAAGTGAAGAATGGGAACATTTGGATTAATTTAGACTTACTTTTGACTACAAATGGCTGCTGACCACTGTAGCTGCTCTGAAGGCTGCCCAGCAGGCACACTGCCTGCCTCCATCCCCACCGCAACATGAGCCTCAAAGCAACTGAGCAGGGAGGGGGTTGGCACATCCCCAAACCTCAGTTTAACACCAACACAGTAGAAAAAGATGACTTCCACACCATGGGGCTACATGGGTAGCTTACGGGCAGGGGGGCAGAAACCATGGCTGAGCCAAGGCACCACGTAGCATGGGTTGATTTAAGATGGTACTTTTCAAACCTCTTTGACCCATCCCCATATCTCCGTGCCAGACCTGACTGCAGGTCTGGACTGCCAGTGAACTTGCCCAAAGTAAAGCCATGCTCAAGTGCCCGCAGCATCTTGAGCGGAGCTGGAAACTGCAGGGCTGGCACTGCTGACGCCACATGCACATTTGTTCACAAGGTAAGACTTGTCAGCAGAAATTCAAATTACAGCCAGTATTTCAGGCCTGCAGCCATAACTTCCCTGCTCTCCCACTTCAGGAC